GAACGCAGTAATACTCACATTACTGCTTGGCGGTAGAAATAGGTCAGGTGGCACAACTTCCCTCGAAGAATCTATCCTAAGGAAATTTGCTACTACTACACGTGTATGTGTATATTCCACAATATAATTCACTACGATATCCTGTGTCGGGTTAAACAAAGAAAACTTCAGACATAATATCTTTGCAGCCAGAAGACATTAATTGAAAAATCGAGTCAGAAACTTTAAGTTTTATTCGACAATGTTTCTAGTTTTGTACAGAAAATATAATAAGGTTATATGAGAGCGTTTGATACAAACAACCTTGCATCTTAGTTACTGGAGGAAACGTGGCATCGCTAAAATAACGTTGCCACAGTTCTTGCTAACAACATTTATACAATTGTATTTACTTCCTTGTGAAAAGGAACTACAAACAACCTATTACTATTTAAAGTAGACCGATTTTGCATCGCTTTTTGAATATGTCGAAGCATAAAATACCTAATAACACTTTGGAAAAGGCATTTCATAGAAGAGAAGAACTCGATTAGTTAAAATTAAAACTGTTAAGCTTTTTAGTATTTTTTAAATTTACGTGTTTGCCTGCACACATACATGTTATATAAATCGAGGCTACCAGCGCAAAGGCGGTGTAACCCATATTTTTTTCCTACAATGGAAAAATTTAAATGATTGTACTTAATTTTTTTTAATACATAAACATAGCATCCAAATACAAAATAATTAATATGATGGCACCACTGATCGACATTTTAAGGGAAGTGTGTCTTTAAATTATAGATAACTTTTGTTTTTAAACACATATCAATATATTCGTTTACTTGACAGATATAATCCTCAAGAAAGATTATGCTGTAGTATATTTCATAAATAAAGCTATTATAATTATTACTAAAAAAAACCTTATATAGAATTTTTCTAAATCTCCAGTACTAATGAACACCAAAAATCCACTTATTAACTAACCAGCAATCGACACACACCAAATAATGAACACCCAGTAATTGACACTCACCAACAAGAAACGTGTTGCTGCGATAGAAAATTTTGTCCTAAATCTTATGAAAAATGAATTTTAAAAATGTCGACCAGAACAAACTTGTCGGTTACTGGCGCCACCACCTTATGTACTTTAATATAATTTAAAGCAATATTGTAAAAAAAACTGAATGTGGGTTAACCCATTTTTGCCCCGATAGCCTAAATTAAGTATTTGCCGGAACACTTATGCAACAATTTTTTTTAAGACCAAAAAACCCTTATTACAATCACCAAAAACTTAAACCAGACCTGTAGTAAAGCCTCAGTTTCTTAGGTGCCAGGAAAAGTCGTTAATTAAGTTTCTTTTCAAATTTTACGTAGAGCTATTGCCTGCCAATTCTTCTGAGAAACATCAAAAGAACAGACAATATGTAATATTTTTTTCTGCAGTATTTACCTAACGTTATACATAATATTTAATTTATTAACATTTATTAACAGTATGTTATAAACAAAATGAAGTTATATAATGTTTTAAAAATGCTAATACCCAAAGCTAATAAGATACTAGAAGCTACGAGACTGCGGCGTATAACAAGAAGAAAAACATTAACGTACTTTGTTATATAACGTTACACATTGTGGGTTTAAGAGCAGCTATTACATGCAGAAGTGCTTTAAACTGCAAACAATGATCTTTAAAACTTATGTAGGACTTTGAACCACGACCTGACAGATGGAATGAGAAGTATTTTCAATTGGTTATAGGTTTTGGACGCGTAGCCAGAATTTTTTTTAAATTGCATTTTACCATTAATCTCGTGGTTAGATTCTCTACATAAGGTATCGATGGCACACAATACAATGCTTGCCATGGTGAAACGAATTGCTAATCGGCGTAAGGTACTCCCCGATTGTTGTCAAAGGCTGCGTACAGGAAAGTTATATGGTACGTCGTGCGGGCTCCTTCTACGAAAGTTTTTTTTTATATAAAAAATAAGTGCGATTTCCATCACCTGATGGAAAGTGACGATGAGGTCGAGAATGTAGCATGCACTCCTAAATAATGCCTATTCAGAGTCGCTTTGAAAAGGTCTAAGTTATAGTGTTCAGGGAACAAGGTCTATCGTCCGATGTTCGGAAGAGACCACTCGAATCGTACGTTCATTCCAGAAATCTGAGGACATGCTGTAGTTTTTTAGTGTTTGGATTTTGGATTTTTGTGTCGCACTGTAGCAATTTTAGTAAAACCTGGTCTTTCAACCGGTCATCTTTCGCAATATCGACGCGTAAAAGCTTTTATATTATTTCGAGACGTAAATTTAATTTCACTCATTTAAGGTAAATTTTGGGTCACCCCTTCTCCCCAATTTTATCTGTGTGCTGTCATCGGAAGAAAAGATTCTCCGTTGAAGGTTGAAAAGCGGGTTTCCTTGCGTTAACGATTTCTTTAATCAGCGGTTACAAAAAAAAATTTTTTTTCCAACGTCGCAAAGTTTAAAAAAAACCCGATAAAGCTTCTTGGAATCAAAACCGTATAGACGGAGTACACCTATCTATCAGAGCATTGTATCTATTTTAGATTTTACACAAGCGTGTGATGTATTTTTAATTTATAGTCTAATAAACTTCACGGTTGCGCTGTCTGTGACGTGTACAGACAAAGCGTAATCTACGTCAGCATTTTGTTTTTTTTTTTCACTTTTGTTTATATTTCAAATAAACAAACTCGCAATAAATAATAACCTCTGACTTTTCACTGCTGTGATTTATTTTGTTATGTAATGGCAAAACATCAAAAAGAAAAGTTGCTCAATGAAGAATAAATAGACAATGAAAATACCCACTTCGATAGCGAATATAAAAGCGAAGATTATAATTTATTCAAACCTAGATCTACTTGCAATCAGTTCTGAATCACAAGAGATTTCATTGCATTAATTAATTCAGTGAAAGCTTAAAATTTGTTAAGTTCGGCGGCTTGATTTTATTGGTACTGAGATTAGTTCGACATTTCGGATATTTTTTTGTTACTATTAATGCTTTTACCTGGTTTAAGCCAGATCACCTAAAATTTTTTTAGACCGATAAATTGTATTCATTTAAACTTTCATGATTTTCACACATTATTTGGTTTTAAATTCGGGATTTAATCGTGTATAAAAACATATTTTATTTACTTCGACGTTTCGACCGTATTGCAACGTCCATGGTCTCAAAATGGACTCATTTGCAACGTCGCAATACGTCAGATAATATTGCATTCAGTTGGAGTTTTCAATGATAAAGTATTTGAAGATTAATTTCATTATCATTTACAACTGCTGTGTCACAAATTAGATTTGGTTGGTATAAGAATTACTACACTTGTCTTAGATAAGTAAAACTATGAATAATTCGCATAGCACATTGAGATGAGTTTGTCAAATGCTAAGTAATGTGTGATAATTGCTCCATAATACCTTCAGATTTGCCTTAATTAATGTTTAAATTACCACTAAACGAGGCGGGATCGTTAAACTGAGGGTGATATAATATTTAACGGCAGTTTATGGGAGTGTCGTAAATTTAATCGATCCTGCAAAATGACAAACACGCAGGGCTGGGTAAAATACGTGTAACATCTTTATAAAAGTGTAAACTACAAAATGCGGTATTTTGACCTTAATTTTGATATTATTATTATTACAAATTACAAAATATGATAATTTATCACTAACCGAATACCACGAATATATTACAAATATCAGTTATAAAATACAAATGGAAGAATAATTTGCTATTTCGCGAACTCGGTAAAGGTTAAATCGTGCAAAATACCTGCGCTTGTGTTGAATATTTTTTTAATGCAGCAATTTTCCAACTCCACATAAATGAAGAAGATAAGTAATACAAGCGTAGCTATTTTTTACGATGTAACTTTCACTAGGTTCGCGGGATAGCAAATTAATTTACTTCCATTTTTATTAACAAGGATTTCCGCAAAGTAACGCCTAATTCTATTCACAAAATATATCACTGTCAGACATTTATAAAATCAATTACAAAATACATTTTAGGTTGTAATTGAAATACAAATACAAATTTGAGATTTGAATACTGTCCAGCCCTATACGTATAGTATTCAGTATAGCATATTTCTAATACTGATTGAGGAGTTTGCAGTTAGTTGAAATTTTGTCTTCTATTGATTATTATGAAAGGGTCGGTCGCAATATGAAAGGATCGTGTACGGTGGTAGGTTGCAAAAGGCAGGTAACGAGAACAAATAATGTCATTTCGAACGATGTTTAAATTGACATTAGCATCTTAGTAAACGTTGAAGTTATCGCGTCAATTTGTAGAGCTAAGCCATTAAGGCGAGCTATATTCTAAGTTCATTCGCCACATGTAGTGTTTCAATTGAGAACTAAACGCTTCTGTTCTGCAATTAAGCAAATTGAGCATTTAATTTGCGATAGCGTGTAATTCAACAAAAGTTCGAGCGCAAAATGAAGCAATAATCGAACAGCGAGTTATAAGGTTCGTTCCGTTTCTGTTTTAAAATTGATTGAACAATTAAAATTAAATAGTTGCGTAAAAACCAAAGGGTTGAATTATACGTGAAATCGATAAACGATAAAGTTTGGTAAAATATAAACGATTTGAAAAACAAATACCCCGAACTTCAGAAACTTTTGTTTTAAAAACTTGTCGTAATTGAAATAAATGCACTTGAAGATAAAAAATAGAAAATTGGAGAAAACTTTTACAAATGCCGGCACTTGCCCGTTCGTCTATACATAAGGCCAATGCTAAAACTAGAGGTGTATTATCTAAACACTCAAGCAGTAGGAGTGGATACGTATTGCGGGATGTTCAAATTGTTTGAAAGTGGCTGATGGACATATGAACAGCGCAGTAAGTATCCACCTGGGGGTCGGAAGCTGCGGGAAGTGGGGGTGGGGGGTAATAGCAGGGTGGGTAGGAGGTATGCTGGGGGTGAGAGGTGCATGCGTGTGTTATGGTGCGCGTACCGGCGGGTCGGAGCGAAGCGCGGTGCTGCGCGGGGCGCGGAGATGCGCAGGTCGTGCGCTCGGCGCGGCGGTCGGGCAGCCACTGGCGCGGGGCGGCTTGCCCTCGCGGCAGCGGCGGGCGCAGCCTCCGGCCCGCCCAATCTCAGCCTCTGCCTCTACCCGCTTCGCTCAAACCTGAATGCACCCGCTATCAACACCTAGCACTGTTTTGTTAAGCCGTCGCCGCGGCGCGTTAAGCCCTTGATTGTTGAGTTACGCTGTGATTTACTGTTAGATTCATAGAAATATGTATGTCCTTAGTCCCTGGACTACAAATTTTTGGATAAGGAGCTGCGTTTACAGTTATCTTACTATTTTAAAGAAGTTGATATTCTTTTCTATTCTTATTGTTACATCGATTTTATTCTTATAAATCTCTAAATAATTTAGTAGCAGTGTACGATTTACAACCGCACATTTTTCTTCCGCTTACCTTGCGCTCTACTTTGAGCCCTACTGTCCGTGGCCTACTGTCCGTGGATTACATACATTACATGGGCACATAAGTAGGCAAGTAATTTTAGTGTTAAACGAGCATTCACTTCATCTAGACATCTTGAGTGTTTAACGAACATTCATATGTCTTAACGTAACAACAACGTAAGAGATACACATCCTCAACGAGCCTTGTATCTTCTTACTTTATTAATAAACTTTATACTTTTATCATCTATTAATTTAAACAATTAGGCGTCAATACTATAGCGTAATATTGGCCCCTACAAGCAGTGTAGCTCTTTGTGAAAGAGTACGTCCAGGGAAGTACTTGCTACCTTACCTATTTTTGCAGCCAAGCAGCAACGTGAGCATTACTGAGTTCCGGATTTGATGGGTCAGGGTGCTGGAGAAATTACAAGCACGTGGGACTTGTCAATTTATGTCTCAGGGTGGCGGGCGCAGTGGCAGTGCCCCTCAGATCTCTGTGATTTAAAACTCAGAGCGTCATGCGACACTGGAATTGTTACTGACAGGTGTGTCGCTTACTACAGGCGCACGACTTGTTAGTCCCGTCACTTGGTGTTATAAATAATAATAATACAGTGCACATCATCAATTCTTTACGAAAGTTAATCCCAAAGTTAATATTTGTGCGTGACAGACAAATGAGGCCTTGTCACGCGCACAGCGACTTATGGCAGACGTGATTTGAAACTTCTGTCGTCATAACGGTACAATGCGAAAAATTTATGAAGGTTATATTTAGGATTTGAGGAAAATGGGAATAAAAAACTTGCCGAGGATTAAGTCCACTAAGAGCAGATGCTACCACGATAAGAAGATTAACAACTGCCCTTTGTACTACGGAGTAAGTGAAAGATATTGCGTGCTATAAAAAAGGCAGCATTAATAGAGATCTTTCATTTCGTGATCCTAATAGAAAAGTGGTTGTAAAAAGACATTCACGTGAATTATACGTACCTAGGCATTTATAATTTATACTTCAAATTATTAGCAGAACTTTTACCATACTTATAATCTAGATTGGCTAATCGAGCTGGACATCATATCTTTTCCCAATTTCCGTTGTTTTCATAATAAAACTGCTTTTATCTTATCGATATTGTGTCAGATTGATGCTTTACTTCCATAGCGTCTACTTTTGTTCTATTCAGTTCATGTTTTCATCACTCTAATGTGAAGTACGGAACAGTGGAATTGTATCCAATAACAACATACTCGTATAGCAATAGAGTTAGTAGTAGCCCCGTACTAGGGAAACCCTGTACAGTGGGTGCCATGGACACACACAGAAATAGACAACCACGTATTACACTCAAACTCAAGTGATAAATAAATGTAGGCGATACGAATGTGTTGTGTTTTCCATCCGTTACTCTCATCTCTGGACTGTATTCGCACTTTCCATCAGGCGCGGTGCTGTCATTTTGCCGAGTCACAATAAAAAAAAAGAAAAAAAAAAGAATATTTCTCCCGGCCCAGGAATCGAACACGGGACCTCTGCGTGGTAGTCCAGTATGGTAACCGTTCGGGCACGGAGGCAGTTCAAAGTAAGGTTCTGACTGCGTTCCGGAATTGAAGAGTAAGAGTGCTGATAAAATCAATAAAATTTTTCTGGACGTATCATAAAAAAATTGTGAGACAATCATACCAATAACTCGATCTCCAACATGGGAATTCCCTGTACTACGACTACCGAGATAAGGAAAATAAATCTAGGGCACTGAATTTTGTTTCCCAAATTAATCCTGTAGGGAATCGAATGCGAGATCTCATCGCGTAACAATAGGTGATTTCGATCGTCATAATATCTCGATGAAAACTCATGTATAATAAAATCTATCTCCAAAAAGTACCTTTATTGTCTTCGGAATTGACTAAAATATAATTGAATAATGTCGTGTTCCCATCACTGAAGACCCGAGAACCTGTTGCGCCGCCGTTCACGGAATGCCTTCCGCTGTTTGCATGAGACCAATTTAACTTTGACGTGTTTGTTAAGCTTCAATAGATTGGTATTTTGAGCTCTTTGAGAAGTATATTATGACAGTGACTAGGTACTCTATCTTATCTACATAACTGAAGAAAATATGGAGGAATAGAAACATCATCCAGGCCATTAAAATCCGGCTGGTCCGAACACAAATTTTCCCCGTATTTCTATGTGCTGTAGAGACTAGATATGTGGTGCTGTAGAAGAATGCTGGGGATATCGTGGACAGTACTCCAAGAACTTGGCATCAAGCAGCGTCTGTCTGCTGTGGTACAAACTCGCATCTTGAAGTTCTTCGTACACGCCTCAAGACTCCGTAGAGCGTCTTGTCGTGCAGGGCTAGTGTTGGGTTTTGGAAAAATTTCCATTTAGAAAAAATTTATATTCTTTGGAAAAATAAATATTTTTCCAATATTTCTTCTTTAATTTTCCACGGTTGACGTTGACACCTGTCAAAAGTTGAAGTTACTGAACGAAAACGATGAAGCCAACAACAGAGACGGTGATGTGGTTGTTGGAGGTTTTTTCGCTGTTTTGAAATAATTTTAAATCTCTTTTTTCTCTATATGGCTTTTAACTACACAAGTTTATTTTACAATTCACGCTAAAACTTTAAGAGATATTTTTAAACGTAAAACATACTTTTCGGGATTTTTTCCGGAAAAATTTGCTCTATTTGAATTTTTTCGGAAAATTTCCGAACAGTATGCAAGGCAGCGTAGAGGGCATTAGACTGCGCGGAAGGTCACCAATGCAATGGATCGACCAAATACAGTCTGTCCTTTGCATGAGTGCACGAAGAAAACCACTAATAAGCAGAGATGGCGAGATATCGACGGTGAGTCACATCAGCCCCTAACAAACATACTCCGTGATGACCAAATCGCTCTGTCAAGAGTGCAACGAAAAAGAAGGTACTCTATCTTACAAGACACTCGAACATTTTTAAGTGTAGAGATAGTCTTGGTCCTTTCAAATCCCTACGTTAGTAAGTGTTAACTCAGCTTATTTCTGTATCAAATCATACAAGTCCCTTTCTGTACGAAATACTTAAGGCGATTCACTAGAGGAGAAGCGGCAAAAACTGTTTTGCGAGATAAAATTGATCTAGGTTTTGGCTATTAAATAACAGTCTTACAAAAAATACATGATACACCTAAGAGTATTGGCTAAAGAATATGCTAATTTGTAACACGATTGGATGTACTTCACCCGGTGATGATGATGATGATATATAATCCCGAAAATAGCCTGAAATAAAGTCTAAAACTAATTATTTAAGAACAAAATATCTAGCTTTGTAGGTATATAAATTTTATATGGAGATATTTCTCTTTAATACTAAAGAGAACCTGCTCAAAAAAGGTGAAAATTGCTCAGCGGCTTAAGGACAAGACACGCCACCCGCTGCACCGTCAGTCATCGTCGGGCGTTTGTCGACGTTGGATGTGTATCAACTTTTCTCCGCCTGTTCTTATTTTATTCATATTAATTTTCAACACACGGGGAGCGCGGATACGGGAAGCGAGGGGCGGTCTCTCACCTCCTAAAATGTAGGTTCGCGTTGAAATACCTCACCTTAAAATTGGATATTTGGTTGTACTCCTAACCTTGACCCAATGTTGGGATAATACAATATATTTTGAACCTTCTACACTGTTTTTCTTCTTCGTTAGATAATTTATTAAGGATATTTATTATGTTTTCCTTCGTAAGATTTTTTGTTCATTCTACCAAACGAAAAATTGTTTTGTGTTGTGTGTGTGTGAAAAATCAAACATGTTCAGTGGACATTCTCTCGTCGGAAATATTGTTTTCACCTCACTAGCTCGGAAAGACTTTCCTTCTCATTAGAAATCTGCGCGCAAACAGTTTATTCCACGCTAGCGTGTACAAGGTTTTTGAAATTCGTACTTGACGGTGGACTGTGGTGCACTTAAATTTTACTTTCGATAAAAAAAAAAACAATGACGCATTCAACTACATTATTTATGTTATAACAAATCCGTTGGTATATTTTATTCTTATTATTGTTGACATTAAATTGAAGACTAGAATTAATTTTGTTTATTAAATTATTTTAATCGTCGTTCGTCGAAAAACTAAAATATTTTCAATTATCACACAAAATTATAAGAACAAGCTAGAATAAAAATTGATGAGGTGCAAATTCAGAACGCATCCAAAGATAAACCTTATCTTTCGATTAAAAAAATAATAATTAGTGACGCGTTCTGAATGCGATTCGTCATATTACGCACCCCTCATGGAAGAATGGCTTAAGTGGAGTTACGTGAAACATGTTTATTCCTCCATTAGATACAGAAAAATATAACCCACATCCTTTCCAATTCTTGTAACTCTAGCGACTAATATTATAGATACTCCACTTATGCCATTCTTCCATGAGGGGTACGACATTAAGTATGTTTAAAATATGGGTTGGTATAATTTATTCTTATTATTATTGATATTAAATTGACAACGATAACACTAATTTCGTTTTATTAGATTATTTTAAGTTGTCGAAGAACTAAACTGATTTGTTATTATAGTTCAACTGTTTTTCTCTCATCTACCATTTTCCTCGCTGGTG